ACTAAAAAAATAAAATAAATAAATAAATAAATAAAAATAAATAAAAAAATAAAGGAGAACTATTTTCTATTCCCAAAATATATTAGTCTGTGCAGAACTGTCACACAAATTCAAAGAGCCAATGGCTATAAAAGGTTCAGCATGTAGGAGGTATTTAAGAGACGTTGGCTCTTCTTATACTGTACAAGTACAGCTTTAAAAAATTAAATTAAATCTAACATGTATAAGGATATATGTATGGGATATATGTTTGATTTAAAGAATCATAGTAAGGGCCGGCCCATGACTCACTTGGGAGAGTGTGGTGCTGACACCACCAAGTCAAGGGTTAATATCCCCTTACCGGTCATCTTTAAAAAAAAAAAGAATCATAGTAAGACAAATACCCAAATACCTGCACCCAACCAGTCTATTATTAAACAGGGCCTGTGAAGGCAGCAGTGGGGGCAGGGGAGGGTAGCTGTTGTCTGGGGGTCTTGTCTGAGTTTTGGGAGAGAGCCCCTGGGTGGATGCTGTGTCTGCCCAAGGGCTCCAGGGCCTGTCTCCAGCCCCAGCCCCACCCCCACCCCACAGCCTGCACTCCCCACCCCAGCCCACCCACTCACCTCAGCCTTGACGCTCCTGAGGGCCTCCTGCAGTAGGAGGGGGAAGCCGCGCACCTGTCGCTTGAGCCCATTGTAGTCGTTGGTGAGGGTCCGCAGCGCTGGCTGCAGCGTCAACAGGTTGGTCCGGACACCTGTGGAGACATGAGGGGTGTGAGGTGGGTGGGTGTGAGGGGCTGTGGCATGGGGCAGCCAGGGCCCAGCCAGTTGACTCACCTGCCAGGTTCTCGTGCACGGCCTTCATCTCCACCTGGGCTCTGGCAAAGGCCTCCTCAATGGCCCGGTTCTTGTCCTCCTCCAATGACTGCATCTCCTCCAGCATCTGCCCGTGTGCCCGCTCCAGCTCTGACTCATACATGGCAATCTGGTGGCCAGGCCAGGAGAAGGCTCAGGGCCATGGGGCATGGGAGGGGGAAGGCAGGTACTAGGAAGGAAGCCCCGCCCCTCACCCCGCACACACGTGAACACATGAACACACACACGGAGTAGAGGTGGAATGGGTTTCGCTTTCTCTCCCCACAGGGCTGTGAGCTCTGTGCAGCTACTACCTCTCTGCATTAGCCCCAGCACCAACTCGGTCCTGGTACATAGAGGTACACAAGCCACATGCCCCCCAGGTGAGCATTTGTGTGATCATATCAAGAGGAGCAGCAGTGCCTACTGAGCACTGTGTGCTGGGCCTAGGTGAAGAGCCTCTGTGATCATGTCCCTGAGTGCCCACTGCGAAGTGGGTTCTGTGGCCAGGTCATGTCACAGATGAGAAAACAGAGAGTTAGACAAAACTTGCCCTTGGTCATATGGCCAGCGGGAGAGAAGTGAGTGGGCCCCAGGTCTGTCGGGTCCAAATGCTTAACTGCTGCACTGTGTGAAGGCCTGCCTCTGGCTTCCTCCTGGCATGCACCCCAATGGCCTGCGTACCTGTGCCCGGAGCTGTGCGGTCAGCTGATGTGAGCTCTGCAGCTGCTGCTCCATCTCCTTCAGCACCTGCCTCTGCATGGCTACCTGCTCCTGCAGGTGCTGGTTCCGGGCCTGGCACTCACTGAGGGCCTGCTTGGTCTTAGACGACTCCACCTCCACTGTCTTGATGATATACTACAAGGTAAGGGAGGGATGGGCACATGGAGCGGCGTGACCTCACTGGGGCCCTAAGACACAGCTGGCCATCGGAGGGGACCCTCAGGAACATCCCACTAAGAGCCTCCAGAAAAAACTAGAGGAGCCTTGAGGTCCTAGCATTCCAGAATGCTGCAGGGCATCCTGGAATCTTCTCATCTTAATGAGAGCCTACTGTGAGCCTGGCTGTGGCCCAGCATGGGCACAGAACCGACAAGAAGGGAAAAAGACAAGGGCAGAATCTAGGGGCTACATCACATCTGTGCCAGGCATGCAGTGGGTGCCTCAGCACTGATCACTGCATCCCTTCTCTGTGCTGGCCCTGGACAGCAGGAAGGGAAAGGGCAAGACCGAGCGTGGAACTGGAATGATCTTTCAACCACTAACCCCTATTTATGCACCAAGACAAGCCTCCGTTCCATGCCGGTCCTGCCCTAGGTGCCAGAGGCCAAGGGCTGAGGCACATGTCAGGCTCACCCAGGGTGCTGCCCGCAGCCGCCTGACCTGTCGCTCACCTTGACGGGCGGTGACTGGGCCCGCAGGCTGGCGATGGTCTCGTGACTGTCACGCAGGCGCCGGCTGAGCCGCTCCTCCTCCTGTGCCTTCTCAGCCAGGCAGTCCTTGAGCCGCAGCTCCACCTCAGCCAGCCGGTCGGTCTTCTGCTGCACCTCCAGGTTCAGCTCTGACAGCATGCCTTTGTTCTCCGCCACCTCCAGCTGCAGCTGTGACAGCCTGTTGCGGAGCTGGGCGCTCTCCTGCAGATGGTTGGGAGGCACAAGGATGAGCGGGAGGCAGAAAGACGGGCAGGGGTCACTGTCAGGAACGGGGGTCACTGTTGGGAGCCAAGCCCTCCAGGCCCGGCTCACCTGGCTGTGCTCACAGCCTGGGCAGGGGGTGGCAGGCTTTGCCTGCAGCTCCTGCAGCTCCTGCAGCTCGGCCTCGCAGCGCCGCATCTCCTGCCTCAGTCGCTCATTCTCCACCATCAGCAGGTCCCGGTGCTTCTCCAAGTCAGTGCCCCCCTGCGGAGAGCCAGGGATAAGGGGACACATATGGCAAGGGCAGATGGGGAGTAAAAGGAAGAGGGGCAGGCAGAGAGAGTGCAGGGCATGGGAGAGAAGAGGAGAGGTGAGGGGAAAGAGGGAGAGAGGGAGGAAAAGAAAAGGAAAGGTGAGCAAGGGAGAGAGAAGAGAGAAGGAGAGAAATGGAGAGCAGGACAGAGGAGAGCAGGACAGCGAGAGGGGTGTAAAGCAGGACCTGCCTTCCCCCCACCCCTCATTCTATTTTCCTGAGTGTGAAAGTAACAAGAAAAAGCCGTTTTTATACACAGAGTTCACACTCCTGTTTTATGTCAGCTATGAATGAACCTCCCCCCAGGAGTCACATGGCCTCTGCGGGTACGAGCGGGTGGTGATGAGTACTCTGGCGCGTTTGTGAGACAGAGCGGTGATCTGCTCGGCCAGGATACAGCCCCTGCTTGGCTGGGACAGGAGGGCTCAGGGACATCTGCACAGGGCCAGGCCGGCCCCCCGACCCCACCAAAGGATGTCACTGTCGAGCCTCACCAGCTCCGATCGAAGTCGGCTCACTTCCTGGGCCTGGCTAATGAGTTTCTCCTTCAGATTTTCCACCTGCCGGCACAAAGCCAGGGACACGATGAGCCTTGGTCCACACCTCCAGCCCATGCCCAGGCCTCTTGCCGGGCACCAGGGAAGCCCACATGGCTTGTCAAGGCCCCCAGACCCTATGGCCTTATGCACCCAGCCCGGTGCTGACAGCTTTCAGCCCCTCTCCCACTGCAGGACCAGCTGGCCGGGCTATTCAGGGAAGTCTGGAGAACAAGTACAACCAAGGTAACCTCTGGTACCCACTCTGGGCCCACTCTGGAGCAGCTCACCAGGAGACTCAGGCAGCCGACCCTCAGGACCCCTCCCTGGCACAGGCCCCTTCCGAGGGCCTGTACCTACCTTTGTATATATAATATTATGTTCTCTTTCTTTAAAAAAAAGCCCCCAAATTATATAAACTCCAAACCCTACAAACCCTACAAACCCAACATGTCCTTGCCCAGCTCCCAGAATTTTCCACTTTGAGTGGTTTCTGGCAAGTTGGCCTGTGGACAGGTCTGCCGGTGGCCAGGGAATGGACCGGGCCAGGCCAGGGCTGGACCACAATAGTCAGGCTCTGCTCTGCTGACCAGGGCAGGGAAGAAGTGGGTCATAGGATCCCCCACACCTCTGAGACAAAGGCCAGTGAAGCCAGCATTGTTTGCTTATGGTGGGGAGGGGTATTCTGAGACACAAGACCCAGCCGAGGGGCCGGGAAGCCCAAGCAGGCTGCCCAAGGCCTCCTGGTAGGCAAGCAGGTGACCCAAAGTCTGGGCCTGAGTAGGTCACCTCTGCTACCACCTCCACCAGCATGGTCCTTCCTGGCAATACACTGGGCCATGAACCAGGCAGGGAGACAAAGCAGTGCCCCTTCTCTGCCCACTACCAATACTTCCGTTCCATTCCTAATGGCCTGGTGTAAGGAGGGCTCATTTCTTTTGGACCTAGAGGAGGGAGTTAGGGATAGTTCACACAGGGCAGCCTCTCATTCCTTAGTCATGAAATTGGGAATAACCTGAATACCCTCCATTTGGGGACAGTTAGGTAAATGATGGTGTGTGTGTGTATGTGTGTGACTATTATGTAACCACTACAATTATGTTTATCAAGAGTTTTAAATGACATGGGGAAAGGCTGATCAGTATAGTAAGTCAAAGAAAAATCTGGAGAAAAAAATTGCGTGTACAATATAAAAAAGTGCAGGTCTCTGGGCTGTAGAATTATAGTAGACAAATTCTTTATGTTTTTCAGTAATTTTTAAGCCTTGAAGAATATGCACCCTCAACAGTGGGTCTACTTCCTTTTGAAAAGGCCAGGGACCCCATCCCACTTCCCTCCCCAGACAGGCTGCTGCCTCGGCACAGGGCTCAGGGCTCGGTGTGCTCTGACCTTCACTATCTCCAACGCTGCTGCCGGACACTCGACCCCAATATGGTGAGAGGGGATTTCCAGTGTTTGCTGGGGGTTGGGACGCCCACCTGCCACCTGCCTGCAGCCCAGGCTCCTGTTTCCTTCTTGCATCACAATGGGAACCTGGGTGCTCCCGGGCTCTGTCTGGAATCTCCGAGGGGCTCCCAGAAGGAGGTGGCTGTAATAGGGCAGGCTGGGGGTGTGGGGAGGGGGCAAGTTAAGGAAGGGGCTGTAAAAGACCCCTTTGGTCTTTAATGTCAGACATTAAGTCATCTCGGGGCTTGTCACAGACAGCAGGTGGCAGAGCAGGGGGAGGCAGTGAGACGCAACAGACGGACACTGCAGGGTGCCCGGGCCAAGGTGGCTGACAGTTGGTCAGGTACAAATTGCTAAACACTCCCTGGCTAGTGGTGACAGGGACCCAGAAGGCCAGCTCTATCTGAGGCCAGGAAAGAACAACTTGCTGCCCAGGAGAGGACCCTTGCCCTCCACCAGGAGGGGTCTGCTTCAGGAGGGCTTGGGGGAAGACACCAGTTTTCTCCTGGACTTGAGGGCAGAGCAGGCAGGTTTCTCAAAGTTCCAGAAAACAGGCAAGAAGTCAGAGACAAATGGAGCCACCTGGAGAAACCAGACAGGAGACAGGGCCTGGGGCAGTGAGAGCCGAGAGTGACCATGACCAGAGAGCAGGACCTTTGGCAAGGGAGACACGAAAGACCCTTCACACACACCACAGCTCTGAGCCAGCAATGGCTGTCTGGGTCTATAAGCCTCAGAGGGAGGGCCACAAGCTCCAGCATGGGACCAGCACACAGTAGGTGCTCAATAAATGATTGAAATAACAGCAAAGGGGCAGCATGCACAATCCTGAGCCAAAGAGCCAGGACAAAGGAGAAAGCAGGCTCCAGCCAGGCCCAGAGATGACCCCAGCGCAGCAAGGATGTCAACCCAGAGTTGAGGAGGGGACCAGGCTGGCTCATGCCACACCCCTCCCTGCCTACACTCCTCATCCGCCAGAGGAACTGAGTCATGGGCCTGGTGCAGGGGGCCTCAGCCCTGCCCTGCACAAGGGGAGAGGAGCTGTGGCCCCTCTGCTGACGTGACACAAACCCTCATTTATACAACACGGGCGGGAGTGGGCTCAGCAGAGGGTGGGGCTGGCCTGCAAGGTCTGTGTTTTCTCAGCTGTCTGCTCCTGAGAGGCCTCTTATCAAGGCAGACAACCTGCTGGTTACCTCCCAGCTTCCTACCAAGCCTGGCCAACGTGACCATCAGCTGTCTTCTGAGGAAAAGAGGGCTCTCCCAAAGGCAAGGCCGAAGTACTGCTGTGTGGGGAAGGCGCAAGGGCCTGGGACTCACAGGGCCTCAAGGAAAGCCCAGCAGCCAGCAGGGTGGCCCCAGGGAGCACCCCCTTTGGAGTCCCCCTCCCCATTCTGCCCTCAGCACATCTTCTTCCCAGGCAGCCAGATCCTGGCTATACGACCACCAACAACCTGTCCTGTCTGGCCCTGTCCACACTGCCCTGCCTCCACTGCCAAGTCTTCAAATCCAGGTCCTTCTGCAACTGAGGGGCAGTAATAGCCACTGAGAACATGGATTCTCAAGCCAGACATCACCTAGCCCAGTGGGCAACCTTGGACAAGTCTCTCAACTTCTCTGTGCTTCTCGATTTCCACATCTGTATAATGAGGCTACTTCATCAAAGTTGTCTTGGAGATTAAATGAGATGATACATGTGAACTGCTTAGAACAGGACCTAGCACATGACTGGAATGAAAGGTCTGGGAAGGCAGGGACGTTTGTCTGTTGTGGTCAGCGCTGTACTACCAGTGCTTAGAACAGTGCTTGGCACATAGTAGGTGCTCGGTAAATACACATAGGAAGAATGTTGAATGCAAGAGGGCCCGGGCAGAGCAGGCTCTGTGGGGCAGGTGGGTAAGCAGAATGTGAGGTGGGGGGGTGGGGCCGGGGTGCACTGTAGGACACTCACTCCCACCAAAGGCGGGGGCTGCCACTCAACCCCAGGAAGTGGGTGCCATGTGGGAATGTTGGTCCAGATGTGCCACATCTTCCAATATTTTGACAAAAAAGAAGTCCAAATCTTCACTAAGATTTAAATGTTGGCAATTAATTTGAGTTTAAAAGCAGGCCAATAGAATTAATAAAAAAATTCAGCAAAGTTGCAGGATAGAAAATCAAAACAAAAACTCAGTTGTGTTTCTACAGCTAACAATGAGCAATCTTAAAAGGAAATTAAGAAAACAATTTCAGGGCCAGCCCATGGCTCACTCAGCAGAGTGCGGTGCTGATAACACCAAGGCCATGGGTTCGGATCCCACGTAGGGATGGCCGGTTAGCTCACTGGGTGAGCGTGGTGCTGACAACACCAAGTCAAGGGTTAAGATCCCCTTACTGGTCATCTTTAGAAAATAAAACAACAAAACAAAGCAAACAAAAAAAACCCAATTTCATTTATAATAACACCAAAAAGAATAAAATAGTTAGGAATAAACTTAATCAAGGAGGTGAAAGACTTATACACTGAAAACTACAAAATACTGCTAAAAGAAATTAAAGATGAAATCAATAAATAGACATCTGTGTTCATGGATTGGAAGACTTATATTGTTAAAATGTTAATACTACCCAAAGCGATCTATAGATTCAATGCTATCTCTGTCAAAATCCCAATGACATTTTCTAAGAATTAGAAAAATCCATCCTAAAATTCATATGGAATCTCAAGGGACACCAAACAGCCAAATAATCTTGAAAAAGAAAGACAGAGTTGGAGGTCTCACACTTCTGGATTTCAAAACTCACTACAAAGCTGCATTAATCAAAGCAGTGTGGTACTGTACGGGCATAAAAATACACATAAAGACCAATGGAATAGGAAGCCCAGAAATAAGCTCTTGAATATATGGTCAAATGATTTTTGACAAGGTGCCAAGACTATTCAATGGGTAAAGAACTGTCTTTTGATAAATGGTGCCAAGAAAACTGGATATCCACATGCAAAAGAATGAAGTTAGACCTGACCTTACACCATATACAAATATTAACTCAAAGTGGATCAAAGACCTAAACACGAGCAGTAAAACTATAAAACTCTTAGAAGAAAATATAGGAAAAAACTTCATGAGATTGAATTTGGAAATGATTTTTTGGATATGACACCAAAAGCACAGGCAACACAAGAAAAAATAGATAAATTGGACCTCATCAAAATTTAAAACTTTTGTACATGAAAGGATACTATCAACAGAACGAAAAGCAATCCATGGAATGGGAGAAAAATATCTGCAAATCATACATCTGATGAGGAGTTATTATTCAAAATATATGAAGAATTCCTACAACTCAACAAAAAAAACCCCTCAATTATTAAAAAACGAGCATTGAATAGAAACTTCTCCAAAGAACATGTACAAATGGCCAATAAGCACATGAAAAGATGCTCAATATCACTAATCATTAGGGAAATGCAAATCAAAACACAATGAGACACCACTTCACACCCATTAGGATGGCTATTACAAGAATAAAAATAAATTAACAAGTGTTGGTACAAATACAGAGAAACTGGAAAATGTTATAGGCCACCATGGAAAACAGTACAGAGGCTCCTTGAAAAATGAAAAATAGAATTCCATAGGACCCAGCAATTCCACTTTTGGGTATACATCCAAAAGAATTGAAAGCGAACACTTGAAGAGATACTGTATTTGTACAGTACCCTATGTTCGTAGCGGCATTATTGATGGTACACAAAAGGTGGAAGTAGCCCATCAACAGATGAATAAACATAATGTGGGATATCCGTATGATGGAATATTATTCAGCCTTAAAAAGGAAGGGAATTCTGACACATGCCACAAGATGGAGGAACCCTGAGGACATTATGCTGGGTAAAATAAGCCAGTCGCAAAAAGACACATGAGGAATTTAGGGTGGTCAGACTCACAGAGACAGAAAGTAGAATGGTGGTTGTGGGTGGGTGTAGGGGGATGGGGAGGGCAACGGGGAGTTACTGTTCAATGCGAGCAAAGTTTGAGTTTGGGAAAATGAAGAGCTCTGGAGCTGGATGATGATGGTGGTTGCACATCATTGCCACTGAACTTCACACTTGAAAATGGTTAAGTGGTCAATTTTATGTTACACGTATTTTACCAAAAATTTTTTTAAATGGTTAGGAAAAGAAAAAAGCAGGCCAAACAAACAAGACACATGTGAGGGCACTATGGAGTTTTCTAGTCTGTGGCCTCTGAGGTCAATTTTTTAAGGTTGCTTCTTGAGGTACGGGGGGCAGTGAGAGGTGGGGCACAGTTTGGGCAGCATGTAGCACTGGTGGGAACCTCAGGATCCTTGAGACCATAGCTCTAGGGACACCCACAAGAGGACAGGGGAGCTCAACGCCTCCGGGATGTGGCCTTGAAACTACTGTTACCAACGTCAGGGAGCGTCATCTGGACCAGCCACAGCCTCCCTCCGTAGCCGGACCAAGACAGCAGCCTCTGTGGCCTGGGTCAGCTGGGTGCCCAAGGACTGCATACCTTTGTACACCAAGTGCTCCTGAGTATAAATAAAACACCTCCATCTGACAGCAATGAAGAGGCCCGAAAGACTCCCGCAGCCCCCACACTCCTGGGTTCCAATGGTGAAAACAGCAGCCCCTTTTACGGAGTCAGCTTTGCCAGTGGGGCAGGGGGTTCCATAAGATCATCACTTTGAATCCCCCAGTCCCATGAGGTAGATACTATTATTATCCCCATTTTACAGGAACAAAAACTGAGGTTCCAAGAGGTTAAGCCTCGGTTAAACAACTTACTGGAGGTCACGTGACCACTAAGTGGTGGACCTAGGACTGGAACTTGGGTCTGACTGACGCTTGCAAAGCCCTCGCTCTTAACCACTAGGCAACATGGCCCTTCAGGAACAGCACCATGGGAGAAAGCAGCCCCCGTCAGAAGGTGAGTCTGGGCGAGCTTGGGAACAAGACGCCACAAAAATGAGGCAGAGTGTACCCCATGGTGAGCTTTTCTTAAAGAAGCAAAGTTCAGAACATTAGGAAAGTCAAACTCTGTATCAAACCACAGTGAGGTTGACAGGAGACCAGAGCACACAGGAGTGACGCCTCACAAGGCACTGAGCTTTACAGTTTACCACCCATTTTTCTGTCCACTCTCACAACTGATACACCCAATAACTACAAAGCAACACCTATTAGCCCCAGTTTAGAGATTGGGAAGTGAAGGCTCAGAGAGGAAGAGGCATCCTACAGCTGCACAAATGGCGAGAGGCACAGCCAGGCCTAGAGTCCTACTCCCAGATTCCAGACCCCAAACTCTCCCGGCAGTGATGGTGGTGGCAGCAGCAACATCAATAACTCACTGGAGATCATCTGTTATTACATCCATTTTACAGATGAGGAAACTGAGGTGCAGAGTGGTAATTAACTAGCCCAGGGTCACACTGCTAATGAGTAGTGCCAGAGAGTCAGGGTTTGAAGCTGGCTCCAGGCCCATGTGGTTGGCCACTTCTCTATAGGGTCAGACCCTCCAGAGAGCAGCTCAGAGACCTAAAGCTTCAGTGCATCCCCTGAGAAATTTCCAGAAAAGAGCTGGCAATCAGAAAGTTCAGGACCAAAGTTGAACAAAGACCAGGAACCATTCTGAGTTCCCAAGTCATCCAGGAGTGGGTGGGTTGGAGGATTCTCCTAACAGAGTCTGGAGAGCTGGGGCTCAAAGACACGGAAAAGGATGGGAGGTTTCACCTTCAACTTCCCTTTTTAAATAGTAAGTAGATTTTGTTAATGAAAGCAAAAAATGTTTTTAAAAACATGTTTAGGGTCACAAAAGGCCACAGATTATTATTTATATGAAATGTTCAGAAAAGGCAAATCCATAAAAACAGAAAGCAGATTAATGTTCGCCCAGGGGCGTGGTGAGGGGAAAACGGGGAGTGACTGTTCATACGGGTTGAGTATCCCTTATCTGAAATACTTGGGACCAGAAGTGTTTTGGATTTTGGATTTTTCAGATTTTGAAATATTTGCACATACTTACCAGTTCAGTATCCCTAATCCCAAAATCCTTAATCCAAAATGCTCCAATGAACATTTCCTCTGAACATCACATCAGCGCTCAAAAAGTTTTGGATTTAGGAGCACTTGGGGGTGATGAAAATGTTTTGAAATCAGATAGTGCTGATGGGTGCATCACCATCTCAATACACTTTCAACCATTGAATTGTACACCTTAAAGGAGTGGCTTTTATGGTATTTGAATTATATTTCAACAAAGCTCTTAAAAAAAAAAAAAAACTTGTTTGAAAAGTAAATGCCTAGACAGCCAGAACTGGGGAAGACCAGGGAAGGCAGAGCTGCTCTGAGCTCTTCCCTGAGGCCAGACCTGTGTCCTGCAGGGTGGGCGCCGCACCCCCCACAGTCCCACGAGCCATGTTCCTCCTACTGTCACGGTCCCTGTGCACTGGCACTTGTTTGAAAAGTAAATGCCTAGACAGCCGGAACTGGGGAAGACCAGGGAAGGCAGAGCTGCTCTGAGCTCTTCCCTGAGGCCAGACCTGTGTCCTGCAGGGTGGGCCCCGCACCCCCCACAGTCCCACGAGCCATGTTCCTCCTACTGTCACGGTCCCTGTGCACTGGCTGTTCCCTCAGCTCAGAACACACTTCCTTCTACTCTGCGCCAGACCTTAGCTCTAGTGCTGCCTTCTCAACGAGGCCGTCCCTGACCTCCACAATGGGGTCAAAGCCCACTCAGACAAGCCCTCACGACGTGTGTGTACCCCTCCTGCAGAGCCCTGGTTACTCTTCCAACTTTACCCAGGTGCGTGAGACAATGTCCATCTTCCCCCAGACTAAAGCCTCCACAGGGGCAGGGGCTTGCTCATCCACCTGGGTGTCCCCAGTGCCCACAAAAGAAGCATACACACACATCGGAGGAGGGCAGACGGGCACCCAGCAGGCAGGAAGACTCCAGATCCCACCTTGAGGAGCCCCAGTTAGTGGGTCAGACAGGCCCAGATACAGTAAAGCCATGAGCAAGTGTGTAAGAGGGAGACAGAGAGCACGAGGGTCACCCCAAGGAGGCCCACCCAACTCAGAAGGGCCAGGTGGGCAGGACAGACAGTTCTTGAGAAGAGGACACACCTGTAAGCTGGAAGAAATGCTGTGTGCATCTAAAAAGAGTGTGCGAATCATCTGCTGCCCTAGAACTGAGAACGAGTCGTGAGGTTCAGACACAGCCACAGAGACAGATGCTGACGATGGGAGTGGGGCAAGAGGCCTCGGGACCACATGGAGATAGGGAAGGAGAAGACAGTGAAGCAGCCACGCACGCAGAAGGGGGCCAGTAGTCAGCCCCATGGGGCGTGCAGCTCATGGGCTGAGAGTCCCCAGATGGCCTCCTGGCCAGCTGACAAAGGAGACACTCTCACCAGCATAAACCTTTGGCTCTCCCTGTCTTCCAGAGGTGTGAGATCCCTCCTCCCATATGCACTACACCAGCCTCTGCGTTTCATGAGAAACCAAGTTCTCGCTTCCTGGCAGTCTCCTGTATGACTGTCTGCACTGAGTTTTGTCCACTCTGGCTGCCCAGCCCAGGGCACCATGGAAGATGGGGTGGACTCAGCACGGGGCTCAGAGCAGAAGCACCCTGCACTGTCCTGCTCCACTCAAGGCTGTGTCACTTCTTGAAGGGGTAGGTCTGGCCCCTGGTAACCACAAAGAGATGGGGCAAAAGGATGACCGGGATGGAAGGCCCAGGCCTCTGATTCCTGCCACCTCGCCCTTTGGCATATTCCTGAGCCAGAGAGGAGATCCTGTCTGTCTCCTCTTACTATGCCAGTGGCCTGGTGGGGTGTCCAGATGCCCCAGGTGATGTCCTCTGATCTTCTCCACAGTGGGCAGGGGCCTCTGCCCATCCCAGCCTCCCCAGGTACCTGGTTCTGCAGCTGAGTGGATGTGCCTTGCTGGTTACTGTCGCAGAGAGCCAGCCTCTCCCGTAGGGCCACCAGCTCCTCCTGTAGCTGGGCTTTCTCCTCCTGAAGCTGGGACATAGCCTCCACCATCCTATGCACCATGGGGGCCGCACCTGGCGACCCCGACAGGCTCGAGCACCTCCCGCTGCCAAAGAGCCGCCTACCTACAAGCAGAACAGGGGCCGATCAGCAGGACAGCAGAGGTCACACCCTGGTGGTGGAGAAGAGGGGCCCAAAATGGCAGGTTGGGCCACCAAGGATGTGAGCAGAGCAGGTGGGGGAGGCGGGCGAGGGCCGGGGCAGCAGCAGCACAGGTCAGCCGGGGGCCTCCAGGGCCTGTCTCAGAGGAAGCCCCTTCAGCAGGCAGCTTCAGAGGGACAGAATTGCCTGGATCAGGACTTAGGAAAGCAACTCATGCTGAATACTCCTCTAGAAGCATGTGTTCTAGATCTGATGGGCCAGCCCCTCTCCATGGCCAGACTGCTGAGAAAGACAAAGGCTTTTAACCCCAGAAAACACTATTCTTGTGGAAACATGATTTCTTTAAATCTCCCAGCCTGCCCCTGCAAGAGAGAGGGGCATGCAGAGAGGGAGCATGTGCGAGGGACAGACAGACCAGGACACAGAGACAGACCAGCATGTGGGGCAGGGACACAGCCAGGCCTACGCTCATTTACTCATGGGGATCAGCACAGGGACAAGAAAGTGATAAATACCAAGCTGGGTGGGGCCTCAACCTGAGGTGTGCGAGGGACAGACAGACCAGGACACAGAGACAGACCAGCATGTGGGGCAGGGACACAGCCAGGCCTACGCTCATTTACTCGTGGGGATCAGCACAGGGACAAGAAAGTGATAAATACCAAGCTGGGTGGGGCCTCAACCTGAGTCTTCCTCCTCCCATGGCCTTCACTGTCTTGTCACCAGGAGCAAGAGAGAGACAGACAGATGGACAAAAGACAAAGACCCAGGATCAAGGCCTGTGACTCTCAGTGGGGCCTGGAATGCTTGCCACAGCTTAATTCCAGGGAACCAAGAATGGCCAGTGTCTCTGCAGGAGAGGAGCTGGCAAAGAGTTCAGGGGGGAGAGAGGAGGATGGAGGGGGGAGGGCAGGACGATTTGCCTCCCCCCTCAGGCAGCCCACACACGGGCCTGCAAAGTGTCCAAGAGCAAAGAGTAAAGCGGGGATGTGCTGGCTAGGGAGCCCTCCCCACCCCACTCAGAGCCCCAGGGCTTCCGGGCTTCTCCACACTAGGTCCCGAGATTCCTAGCCCTGTACAGGCTGGAGGGGTGGGGGGCTCCCAGATTCTGTGAACAAGCCAGCTGCAACTGAGCTCAGACACCACGAAGCAGCCTGACGTGGGAGGCAGCAAGTGTGTTTATTGACTGCTCAGCAGAGAAGTCCAGTGGACCAGGCTGGAAGTGGGAGTGGGGAGGGAGTGGCTTGCAGGCTGGGCAGGAACATCTCCGCACTGCCCAGAGGGAGGGGGATCAGGCAGAGGCCCAGCTCCCACTCCAAAGACAGCAGGAAGAGCACATGCAGCCTGGCTTTTCCCTCCTTCCACTGAGACCCTGCAGGGTGCTGGAGCAGTGGCAGTCCCTGGCTGGACAGTGACTCTGGCTATGTGGGCCACATGTGACACAGCACGCAGGTCACACGGAGCTGGCCAAGCTCCTGCGATCTGTTCTAGAGAGAGTGAGAGCAGAAGATGCTTCCAGACCTGCACACGGGGCTGCTATAGGCGGCATGTGACCAGTGCAGCCCTCAGCCCTTTGCAGACTGCAGTGGTGTGGCAGGGAACGCACTGGACTGCGGGGGGTGTGGCCAGAGCTGGTTCTGCCACTTCAGAGACGTGGGAGGGGCCCTGCAGGGTCTTCCTATGTGAAATGGGAACACAGGGCCTTGCCCAAAGGGCAACCCGGAACCTGTGGGGGATGCGCAGGTGTGAGTGGCTGTTACATAACAGGACACGGGACTGAAAAGAGACGTGAGAGAGCCCTTCTCATCCAGGACACTGCTCACATCACGGGAGGCTCTGGAACACCCTTGGTACCCCTCCCAGTGGGGTTTGTCCTGCCCTCAGCACTGTGCCATGTGCAGGTGCAGAGGGTCTGGAAGGGAGCCCAGAGAGCACACAGGGCAGGGGGAGAAAAGCTCTGGAAGAAGCCAAGGGAGGTCTGAGGAAGAGGAAGGGAGGAAGTGGAGGGATCAAAGGGGCACTCAGCACGGGAGCAGAATGGGGCCCTTGTGCTGAGCAGGCTGCACACCTCTCGGTGGGTCTGTTTTCAAGAGCACGTGCCTCCAAGGGCCCTCCCCTGGGGCACGGCCCCCCTCGGGGATTCAGGGCTGAAGCCTGCTTGCCTCGCCCTAGGCCACTGACCAGAGTCGGTCCTAACTCTTCACTGGAACTGGCCTTTCTCTTCTCCGCACCTCTGCTGCCCAATGAAGAAAGCCCACCCAACTGGCTGGACGGTGCCCCCTTGCCAAAGCCCATCCGCTATATCTCAGCCAGACCAAACACCTGCTCCTGAACATGAGTGTCCAGGCCCAGACAGGAGAAGGCTGCTCTAGTACAACCTCGGAGAGGGAGCGCTTCCTCCCACCACAGGCACCGGAAGACACATGATTCAACCTTCTGGCGACCAGAGCAGGAAGCAGCAGGAGGACCAGTTCCTTTTCCCTCCACACACTTTGCCCTTCCCCGTGGGCTCCTTGAGGATGATCTTTCACAGTTATCACTGGGCTCAGGCTTACTGCCAGGGAATCCCAGCATGGATTTGTGAGACTACAAGGGGAGCCTGTAGAACCTTCCAGAACCAGCCAGCTTCTGGGTGCCATGGCAGACCTTGCCAGAGCAGAGCAGAGCCGAGCCACTGGCTCCTTTTTCTCAGCCTCTAGGCAGTAAAATCAAAGTCCTGTCCTAGGAGCCTCCAGACCCCCATGAGCCCAGGACACAGGGCAGGGAGCCAGGCCTCTCACTGCAGGTGGTGGCGTCTGGGAGGCTGCCACCCTCACCCTGCTTTGGACAGGAGCTGGGAAAAGACAAAAAGCAGGGAAATTCAACCCCAGCCCATGCTGGCCAAGGCCGCTTATCACAGGGTGGGGCCCTGGTGGCTTTGGGAAGAGGGTGTTGAGGGAGAGGGAGGTTAAATGTGCATCACTGTCCCTGAATCCAGGAGAGGTGGGCTGTGGTTTCGGAGTTCTGAGTTCGTGTCAGGAAGCCACAGTCTGGCTGGGCCATCTCCAGCTGGAAAGGATGGGGCATGGGGACAGCTCAAACTGCACAAGAGCCTCCCCTGCTGCGCTAGCTTAGCCAGGGTGTTCTGGGTTGCTGGGCAGACCTCCTTTACCTGTTTTCTCTACATTCATGGTGCCACCAGCTTCCTGGGCCTCCCGGTCCCGCCTGGGGACCAGCGCCTGCCTCTTCAGGAGCTTCTCTTCTTTCGTCCCCTGACTCTTGCTCTCGCACCCCTTGTCCTGTAGGGCCTGCTGCCAAGACACAACCAGAATCCTCACATGAAGGGGAGTGTGCTGGGGAGGGACCCCTCGAGCCTGAGGATGGTGAACTTCTGGAGTTGACCCAGCGGATCCAGTACCTCACTGTGGGTGGGGACAATGTGGCCTAGGATGTGGAAGAAAACATGCCCAGATCCCAAAGCAAGACAGAAAGCGCGTGCTCTTTGCCTCCTACAGCAGTTGGCCCTCTGCACAAGCAAAGAAGGCTCGTGGGCACTTAAAGTCCTCAGGTGAAGCTCAGGCCATCTCTGTGGGCTCCATGGGATGTGAGTCACCAGCACAGCAGCCTGCTCGCTGCAGGTCCACAAGCTCCACCATTCACAGGTAAATGTCCAGCCCCACTACATGCATATCAATCTCAGGACAACTTCCCCATAATGTCAGCTGCTACCCTCCCCCGGGATCATGGCTCCCTCACCTCCAGATGGCACCCTCAGGACTGCCAAGGAGGCTGCACATAAATCCACCCGAGCAAGGGAAGGCCACAGCCCTGCCTCCTACATTCCCCCCACCCTCCATGGCTCCCAGGGACCACGGGACTGCATCTCCTGGTCAAAGAGGAACACAGGCAAAGAGGCTGAGATAGAGCAGACCACTGGATAGGCAGGAGGAGAGAGAGGGGTGGGACAGAAAGAGATGTTCCATCCAGAGACAATCACCTGCAGCTCACACAGAAACACACCCAGGGCTGGCAGCAGACCCATGTGTAAAGTGCAATCCCATTTGAAGATAATATAAATAAAAAAGACATAGGAAGAAATCTAGAGAAATCTATACACAGTGGTTCTCTCTGGGAGGTCAGGGTGATGATGGTTAAGAGTAGAAACAAGCTTCATTTAAACTTCTGAGGAATAAAAAGAAAATTCACAAGAAAGAATGTGGGAAGAGGGGAAAGGTTCATGTTGAACCTTTTTGGCGTTTGAATTTTTTTTTTTTTTTTTTTTTTTTTTTTTTTTTTTTTCC